CCCCCCCCTCAAAAACTTGCTGCGCAGTCCCTGGCATTTGTGTTTAGAAAGTCCTACTTACTAAGTCATTCTCATTGAATATCTTACCTCAGCTGGAGTTTCACCATATTTGTTTTTTTGTTGGATGTTTGTTAGAGGATGAGAAACAAGATATTCAACGATATCAGGAAAACCAAACTTGCTGGCAAAATGTAATGGTGTTTCCAAGTTCTGTGAAACAAGATAAATTGAATGGTCAAGAAATCTTTAAATGGCTATTTGGTACAGACTGTGTAGGGGAAACCTTGGACTAACAGTCAACACTCTCTTTCCCAGTCCACAACACAATTTCACCTTAGATTACTAGACAATATTTAAAAATATCAATTAGGGGTTTATCATTTGATCCAATGCTAAATGCTCAGTACTAAAATCATTAACTAGGTCTGAGAGTGGTTATGGCTTTCATAAGCCAGGACTGAAAACAAGGGTGGACTCAACTCTGATCTGGAGAGCAGATTGACTCACCCCCATAGAAGAATTCTGATGAAAAGCACCCCTCCTCCCTTGGAGCTCTTTCACAGGATACCTCATTTTTAACTCTTCACCTCCTAAGATCTCATTAGTAATTCTCCTTACTATCTACTATACATTTATTGTAATGTTAGTTTGGAGGATTTGGTATTGGATCATCTTATAATCCCCTAAATGATATTTTCCTTTATTCTCATAACTTGTGTGCTTGATATAGTTTTGATATTGTAAGGAGAAATTCTGTCATGGTCACTTGTGGGAGTTAAAGGGTTAAGCACCCTCTCTCTAACCAGGAATAAATGGTCTAAGAAACCTGTCAGGGAAATGGAACAAAATCCTGAGGGCTACCTGTAGTGGAGTAAAATGCCAAGATTACCACCCTGTTAGGGAAAAGAATTTGCACCCCATGAGTTGAAAGACTGACATCTCATCTCCCCATCCCTCTTCCTCCCCCCCTCAACAGCTTCCCTGTAATTACCACCAAACCCCCTGGGAATTCTGAAGGAAGTGTTGCAGCTATGTACCCCTTTGTCTGGTGTGTTTAGGTACATGTCCACCAAAAATTCTCTCCTTTTGCTGTTCTTGGCTGTCTTTATTTCATGGTTCAGTAGCACATCCAAGAACGATTCACTCTCTAAAGTTTCAACAATAGACTGACACATCTCTTTTCTGTTATTTTTCACTGCTACATGAAGAGCATTATAACGGAATCCTTCTTGTAAAATCACTGGAGTGTCACCTGGTCCAATAAGATATCTGGGATTAGTCATAACTTTTTCTTGAAATTCTTCACTCGAGCCTCGTTCGATGACAGCACGAAATTTGACTATTTCTTGCGGTGTTGGAGTTTTGAAAATGCTCACAGGATCTCTAGGAACAGATGAAGTATACGTTGCACCTGAAGATATCTCTTGATCTTTGAAGTGCGATCGGGAGAACAATTCGGCCTCCTGTTTACTTTTAAAGCTTTTAAAACGAGAACCTTTTACTTTCTTGACCATCTTCAGTGCCTCGTCTTTACTCGTAAAAACAGCTGGAATGGCTGGCGATGCACTTTCAGATAAAGAAGAATCCACATTGAAACAAACTCCGTAAAAGATCGCTGGGCTCTCTGTTACACTTGGAGCGTTGTGCGTCCGATCATCACTTTCTGCAATTTGACTCTCTCTGACTTCAAAGTTCGACCCAACCTCCTTGTTTTCGAGACTGCTATCGACATTGTCACAACCCAGAGCTCTGGATAGCTTTTTTTCAATTAGTCGTCTAGTGTTTGGAGTAATAGGTCCAGGTGTTAAACCCAAGGACTTCAATTCATTCATCAACTCCACATCAGAGAGATCTTCCACAGCTCTTCCCGCCATCTTGTTTATTCCAGAATTCAGACCTAGGAGACCTAGGACCGAGGGAATAGATCTATATCCCAATCTCTCGCGGACCACTCAAAGGGAAACCAAAAGCTTTCGGTGGGTAAATCTGGTTTGAAAAGTTCAACAAATTTTAACTGACGGTGCTTTCCCCTTTAAAAATGGTAAGGGTAGAGCCCCTGCGAACGAAGTTGAGGTTACCTCATTTGTATAACATAATTATGGGACTTTCCCTTTTCTCCATGGGGTGGGGCAGTTTGGCACAAGCCTTATTTTCGTTCAGGGCAGGGCAGACACCACCCTACCGCTATCCAACCGGCGTACGTACAAGGTGCTCTTCAGCAACTAGCTGACGTAATCTGTCTTAATTTCTTATTCCAACGATCCCAAAATAGAAGCTTCTCTCCCAATAATCCCTCAAAATCTCAACTCGAATCAGAGAAGACCTAAGAGTTCCTGAAGATGGGGACAAAAAGCCAGCTGCGTTTTCATAGAAATCGGTTGAATAATTGTAATGGACATGGTAAAATCTCCCCCTTCATCGAAATACGAAAGGAAAAAACTTCTCCGAGATACCGAAAAGTTTGAGACGATAAAAGTAAATGACCGCTTTATCATATTTAAGGAAAGTTACTTTGAATTCGCTGGAATCAGCGGAAACTTTGCCTCAGCGAAGCTGGGTTAGAAACAGATCTTAAATCATGATTCAAGAACTATTAAGGGTGACACTGACATACAGCTCCTTTTTTCTCTTTTTTCCCCTTTTTATCTATTGGATTGAAAGCATGAGAAATGGTAACCTCTCAGTTTGACATAATGGAAAATAAATACTTCTCCTTACTAACCATGATTAGGATAACACTTTTAAGATATACAATTTAGCAATGAATATAAGACCATTCGCAAAAATAAAGAAACGATTACATTGAATTTATAAAAAGGGAAAATCAATAATTCAAGCTATAGCTAAAAGGAAAACTTAAATTATGTTTTAATCATATCTTTATTTGGAATTTCCTCATAATTT